CTTCCTCTGGTCCGCGGGACCTGCCGACTTCACAACAAACAGGCAGCGATGTTCTACGCAAAGCAGCACCACGGACATTGCATCAATTTCCTTCAATGTGTGAGAGCCAACCTCATACCAACACAGCGAGGTTTCCTGTGTCAAACCCAATACCTGGGCAAGTCAAGAACCGGAGAGGTTCATGCGTGCTACATACACAGCATCCCGCACCTTCGTCCAACAGATTTGGCTGAAACCGTCTGGAAAGTTGTCTACGAACTTGTCATCATTCTCACGGATCCGCGACAACGTACTTCAAGGCTCTGAGGCCTTCATCCGAACCTGTTGAATCTGATGATACCTCGGAGCCACGCCGTGCGCCCATCGATGAACAAGATGCGCCCCCATCATCTCCAAAATTTGGTGTGCTCTCCACTACTCTCCACTAGAGAGCAGATGTCTCGAAACCGCACAAGTGACTTTATGTGTATTCATTAGTTTCACCACTATTGGTAAATTAAGGGCTTGCACAGCGACGCAGTGCATACTTGGCATACTCCAAGAACGGATTATCCAACCAGCCCGTAGGGACCTACAGCAAGGACGTTTTTGCCACTGCATGAAGATTACCCGGGATGTGTGGAGGGCCCTTTTGCGCTGTCGACCAGGCCCCTGATGTCATGCTCCGCCAACCGAATGGCAATCACAACTAAGTATTGCCAGATGCTTCTGCAAATGTTTGTCCCCTCGCGGTAGGGTGTAGTCATGTAATTTGTCCCGTCACATCTGCTTACGTGTTGGTCTTCTGCTCCTGACGAGAAGAAACTGTCACTCTGTTGCCGCGATGCCCGGTCACGAAAAAATTGGCGATCCGTCCGAGAAAGCGGAAAGGCATGTAGGCAGGCAGTCTAATTTCTGTAAGTTCCGGCAAAGCCGCTTGAGCCAAACCGACTTGGTTCCGGTAGAATTCGAAGTTGATCTTTCAACCTTTGCCTGGCGAGGGCTCCTGCGAAAATCTGCACAGTTGACTTATCCAATACATGCAAAGTCTCCTTTTTGAGCAGGTTGTCAAGTTGTGCTTTTCGGCCACTTTCAGTAATACTACTAGACATACCAGTTATAGTAAAGCTGCACGCCGAGAGGAACATGCGAAGGCCACGGCAGAAGCGAAGAACTCGTAGGAGACGTATGGCACGCAATGCTCTGATAAGCACAACGGTGTACATAATGGGTGCACCTTCGGTGGGTGCATGCTTCAGAGTGCATTCCAACAATGTTGCGACACTCAAAGTCTGAGCATCAGCCGTTTGCATGCTTCCGGCTACCGGGGAAACCTGCAGTGACCTCGCCAACTTCAATGACAATGATGAAAACCAGGTGTACCTCCACAGAAAGCGCACATGAAGGGATGCGGAGTCACAATGCGTTCCGTTCTGCGGCCTCTTGCTCTCATGTACAAGGCTCATAATTTTGAACAGCCGCCATGCCAGCGATTGCGAGGATTGCGTCGAACCAGATCGCGGGCACCATGTGAACTTTCCCCTGGCTCCCGAGGGGCTGACCATGCGACTGCCAACTTGAACTGAAATTGTGACCACCAAGGCGGGACCAGTGGCAGCAGCGGCCATAGCTGCAATAGAAACAACAAAAACAACAACCACCAGCACCACCACTGCAGCAGCAGCAACAGGGACACGGACGAGGACAGTGACAACGCAGCCGCAACTATCAGATATCACTATGGCAACAACCAGAACACCCATCACTGAAAAAGGAAGGGCGACCTGAACAACACAAAGTCCTTCTACTCAGCTGCAAAAAGCCCAAGTGCAGAAGTTAGAGCCAGGTGGCCTTCTCCAACGCCAAGCGGGCCAGCAGCCTGTTATCGCTCTCGGAAGCTGTCGGTCACCCCTCTAGTCATTTCCAAGACCGCTGCGAATGTGGGTGTTCTCAAAAAAATGGGCTCTGGCTCAAAACGCACAACCAAGCCTTAGGCCGCCAAGGCACTCCAGGAAAAAGAGAAGATCGAACGTTCCAGCGATGAGTCGCCCCAGCGAGTGCAGTTCTCGCAGGTGCAGCCCGTTGTGCTCTCTCCATCTAAGGTACAAAAAAATTCGGGCTAGAGCCATTGGCTTCTTGACTGCAACCGTTTGATTAACAAGCTTAACCCCGAACAGAAGATGCAAGTAAGGAAGAATCTCCTCCAGGGCAGGCCAGGAAGACGCAATGGCTCGCATCGCTGCTCGACAACGTTTCAGCTGCTGCCCGCCCTGCAACAAGGGCTCACAAAATGACCGGATCACTCCCGGATGGCGCTTTGCAAATGAGCTGATCGACTCATGGCAACGGAGAAGATCGCGAAGTGCAACCTATGCTAGTAGATGGTGCTTTCCCACAAAATGCTTGACGCAACTTTGTCGATGTTGGTCCTGGTGGATCCTGGTGGTGACTAGAGTGGTGACTAGACTAGTCTGCAGCTATACATTGATGTTCTTCCTCTAGCCCTTAACCTCGCCATCCCGTGCTGGTGAAGTACAGAGTTCGTGCGATGCAGCCGTGTGGAGATGACTGGTTTGATGAGACCGGTCCCGATGAGATGAAACTTGACTCGTCGTGTGGGCTGGTTTGTTGTGCATGTTGCGTCGGCTGATGATGAGGAGTTGGTTTGGCGTGTCTGCATGCATCGCAAACGACGAGCCAACTCAGCACCATCTTTTGCACATGTTGAAGATGGAAACGGACCACAAATGCCCCGAACTTGTTAAAGTTTTCGTTTCTGGCTGTCGTCAAGTTTGCCTTCCAACTCCAGCTCCACCATCATACAAACGCCATTGAGGAACAGCAGAATCGCGGCGGCTCGATCCTTGAAACATGCAAGCAACGCAAGGTTTCGCTGCTCTCTCAACTTTCCTTTCTTGAGTTCACTGGGCGCCAAGAGTTTGCTATCTTCAAGTGCCCGCAATTCCCGAAATGAGGGCAGACGAGCAACCAAACATCGAAGCCTCCTGTCCATGGGATCCAAGTTTTGACCACTGGGCACGACCTTGGGCAGCATCTCCTCCGATTCCTGCTTCGAAGACAAGGAAAGCCATCCACGGAGTTTCGAAGCTCGGGATCGAACACACCTGGCTTTTTCGACATCAAAACGGAACAGGTAAAGAAGTGACTGCAATTGATTAGAACCTTTAGCGCAAAAGAAAGGTATGCGTAGAGTCGCTTGGGGGCCCATGGCGCACTCCGTAGCTGGCTACAGGGCTGCACGGGCACGGGTCCGGGTCATCGATCTGCAAGGCGGGTTGTGAGGTGAGCTGTGTTGCACTCAGCTGTAGCCGGGCAGGGTCATGAACTGGAGATGCCACAGGCTTCTCATCCAACGATTCCCCTTCAAGGTGACTCAGCGCCGCTTGCCGCAGCGTAGCATGTTGCTCTTCGGCAAGAGCCAGCTGTTGCTGATGAAACTCGTCAATGATCTCGAGGAAACTGTCCATGGCAGAAATGTCGGCTGTAAGCTGGAATGAGCTAACTAGAAACATGATGAGCATCACAAGTTACCCACTGCAGTGGGACACTGTGCTCGACTACTTGGCAGACTTAGCATGGCCTAGCCGTTTAAGGCATCAGGTCCTCCTGGAAAGGAGGCAACCTTGAGCCACAAAAGCTGCAGGACACTGATCTTGCGATTCTTCTTCACGATTCCCTCAACTTCACTTTTGCATGCTGCTGCCAGGCTTCGACGTCTGCGGCCGGACAGCCTGAAAAACTCGGGGGGTGGACTTGCAGCTGCTAGGCAGTTGGAGGTTAAGGCTGTGGCAAGCTGGGTTGCTGTCATCCGAGAGAAGCGAGATCCCAGGGTCCAGCGGAGCTTCCATGCTCCTCTTGCTGTTGTCTCACGAGTGCAAGTGGTGGGGTTTCTTGGCGCAGATCCAGTTTCGTTCTTGGTCCTCCAGTCTGGCCAGCACAGCCGTCGCAGGGGTCACTTGCTGGAGCCGAGGCGGCCGACAGAATTCGGCACGGTGAGACCACCACATGCTGCTCTGCCGAGTCTGTTGCTAAGAGATGCAGGCTTTGAATCAATGAAATGCATGAATGAATTTGACCCTGTCGCGAACGCTGCCTGAGCCTCCCGGCGCACACGCGGAGTTTGGGCCTTTTGCGCGGACTTCGGGCGTCTGCTAAACGTCCATGCCTTGATCCGCAAAGCAGGAAGAAACCTTCAAAACTCGCAGCTGGTACGTCATCAACACTTGCAAGTTGCCCCCCATATCTCTGATTGCTAGCTTCTAGATTTCCTCGCGAACGGTCCCTTCACGGATACATTGTCACACATACATACATACATACATACATACATACATACATACATACATTTTAGCACTCGCACTCGACGCTGCAGGCGAGGTACCGGGAGAACTATAGCAACAACAACAGACTCGTCGCACTTTAGGCGAGCAACTAAGCCGGAGATCGTCACGACCACCACTGATTCAGGGCTAGCCATTTTTGCCAGCACATGCAGCACTCTTCGAGCAACAGCAGGTTCGTATCAGCAAGGGCACAATCCTAAACAGTTCAAGCAGTTCACTAGTCACAAAGCCAACAAACATTTCAGGAGAATGGAGGCTCATGCAGATATCAGGGATATGACACTTCTGATGATTACCTTGAATCACCTCTGTATGAATCTCCCCTCTCCTGTCTGTATCCACCTGGCACTGCTGCTATGTCTTCTCCGACCATGCGTCAAGTTACTATGCGCATCCAGTTTCACTTAAGTTCTGCACGTCTCTCGGAAGAAGCATGGCGCAACACAGGTGAAATGTGAAGTCCGCCCAGCGTGAAAAGAACTGTGGAGATGACAGTTCCAAATTTTCCGGACCATCGATACGCCAAAGCTCTGCAACCTTCGCAGGAGTAACTTCCAGCTAGCACTACTCACTACACGATGCTTGCTCTGATCTTGCACCAAACACCTCGAACAATCTGGCATTGGAGGTCGAAGCCCGCCAAGACTCATCCACCGTCTAGACACGAGCATCCAGCCACGAGATGACCTCCTGCACAGCCTGCTGCGCTATCTCTGGCTGGTCCTGGAAAAGTTGGTGGTAGGCGCCCTTCAAAACCTTCAGGTGCTTGTCCTCCGAGCCGGCGGCGAGGAAAAACTCAAAGGCCGCGCCTGTGTCCACACGAATCTCCTTCTCACCTACGATCATGGCAAAGGGAGCTTTGAACTTCTTCTGGTTTTCCGGATCATTGACGAACTCCACCGCCCCGAGGGTTTCGGCACCAGTCCTCACGTGAAACTTGGCATTGAGAACGCGGTTCACGACAGGATCAGCCTTCCCTGCGGCCGCCCAGCGCTGATCGCCGAATGCCTGGTCGAAGGTCGTCTTGACATCCACGCCCGGCAGAGGCATCTTCGGGAATAAGCGTGATAAGATCTTTGCAATCCCAACTACGCAGGGTGGTGGCAGCATCTCCTTCTTGACTTTCACTACCGGACCGCACAGGAGGTACCCAGCGATCGGCCCGAGCGCCAGACCTTCCACCGCCCTTCCGATGCCATGCCTCAGGATGAGAAGTGCGCCGGCCGACTCCCCCAGCGCGAAGATCCGGAGGCTTGGATAGCGCTTTTGCTCCTCCTCCGCCATCTTTTGTAAATCCCCGACGACATCTCCGTAGCTGTCAATGTAGCCCGGGGCTTCGCCGTCGGAATAGCCATAACCAACCTGGTCGTAGGCGACCGCTGCGTAGCCAGCAGTGCGCAAGCCCTGTCCTACGAGATCGAAGTATCCGCTGTGCCAACCCGCTCCACCGTGCACGAGGATGACGACGGCCTTGGGTGAGGACGGCACCCAGCGCCGCACCGCGAGACGGAAGCCTTTCGAGGACTCAGCGAAGCTTTCCGGCTCTCCGAGCGGTGCGAAAGCCATGGTTGGGAGGCCGATAGCAAAGCGCGGCTGGTCTGAACAAGCACCTGCTATCCTAGCTACCAATCTAGCTTGAGCCAAAATACATACATACATACATACATACATACATACATACATACAGAGACAGAGAGAGAGA